TTAGACGAATTGGCCACTCGTGCCCCCTACAAACGTAACAAAACAAACACTGCAAACGTAAGGTCCGAAACACAGTGATGATGCGGCATGCAATACATCACCATCGAATAACCATGTCTTGTTTGTTTCATGTGTAGACCGCCTCCGTGTTCTAGTGGTAGAGCGTCCGCACGGAGAGCGGAAGGTCCGGGGTTCGATCCCCGGCCGCGTCATACCAAAAGACGTTATAAGATGGTACTTGTTGTTACCCTGTCTGGTGCTCGGCATTAAGGGGCTAAAACAAGAACTGGTCGGCTCGGAGTCAGTATACTGTGTCTGAGTGGGGTATTAATGTTAAACTGCGGCATGGTATCTCAGTGAGCCAGCACTATAAATCGGCATCAGTCCGGACCAGTACAAGCAGCCACACAAACACAAAACACGTACATGCACGTCGCTTTATAAGTGCAATAATCTTGGACGCGACGTTAAACCCCATTTCACCTCACCTCACTTTTTCATGTGTAGCCGCCATCAAACATGGGTGTATACTTTGTTGTGCCCGGCAGTTTACTTTTCGAAAACCCAACTCGACCCCTCATGCACTCGAGTTTCCCCTCTTCCGGTATAACATACCCTATATTCCAGGGTGTAGTGTTTCTCTGCACGTAAGTCGGTCTGGGTGCTACATCATCAGACGTAAAATCCATACCGGGCGATATTCATACTTTTCTATAATCGATTAGAGCAAAACTTACCCCCCTCCCTCTCAGAAACATTCCGCGTTTAATGTTAGTTACACCATTGTTACGAAATGAAGTTTTTATCAATATTAAATGACGTAATTATCAGTTGTGGATCAGGTGTCTGTGACGCTAAACCCGCGTTGTGCTCCGCGGAGCTCTTAAGGACAATCTGATGAGTTTTAACACACGGACTATTTATTAGGGAATCGATATTACTGAATCCACATCACTGCGAGATACTTTCTGTTAATATTTATCAAATAACGGAAGCAGAAATCACATTGGTCAAGCAAGGGGTCCGAAACTATTAAAAACATTTTATCTGAATATTTTGCAAATTATTTTTGCAAGAGCTGATAACGAAATGCCAACAAAAGCAGAGGAATAAAAAAAGCACCGATTAAAACTGGATGCCTGAAACACGATCTTGTAACATGATAGCTATTCACAGAGTTGGTAACAAGTGTGTTGGATATCATATTTATCCCATAGGATTTACTGAATGAAGATGCCTAATCCAAGCCTATTATAAGATCAGCGTGAAGCATTCAACCACGTGATATATCGATTAACCAATCAGATCTAGACTCACAAGAGAATGTCGATTTATTGAGTGATGTCTATTTACATTTGTTTTGTCATTTCACACGGATCACTTCGATTCCTTCACCACTCACCCATGAAATATACATTTAGATACCTCCTCTGTCATAAACAGCTCAAGTCGTATTGACATTTTGGCAAGTTGATGGAAACGTGTTATTTCTGGTATTGGCTATCTTCTGTGATCGTGGTGGGCGTTGTAGTAATGTAGTATGGTTTCATGGTCTAGTGATGGTCCCATGTTGGCACATGACGATGTGATGTATGTCAGTCAAAGTGGAATGGTCGTGCATGTTAATAGAACGAGCGAAATGAGGCATCATCAACTGATGGGGAGAAAATGGTCAATCGTGATTGGGGGTTTACTAAAAGCATTAGCAAATGATTATCTTGTCACAGCAGAAGTTTTAACAAGCGTGCATGTTGGATTCTTACACATAAAACATGATCCCAAACAGGATCATAATTTTAAAACTATAAAAAACCCATGGTAATTCAGGTGTACGGATATTACTGACCTGCGACAGGCGTCTATGGTAGGAATCTACACTATGGTAACTCTTCAATGAGCAACACGATCGTAGTTTTATTTTTACGTATATGTAGGTAGAATAACTCTAGTTAATGGTCAGGTATGATTGTATTCTGACGGATAAGCGATAAGGCCATCTTCCGTGATAAAAGTACACCGCGTCAAGCATGATTTCATTATATTTAACAGCTAAACAGATATATAAGTGACTCAGTATTGAGATTGCATTTAAACAATTAAACACGCTCATGTCTTTATCAGCGATAGAAACTAACTGTTTTAGTTAACTAGTCCTTATAATGATAACATATAGTAAACCCCTTAATAATGGCAAATCTTTTCAAGTCCTTATGATACGTTAACTACTGGGTAGTTTGTCACGTTTTTATACACGTGTCCCCGGTTAGGATTGCGATGACATTAAAAAAAATAAACATTAAAAAATTACAACGGGCAGTAATCGCTAGTTGTGAACCTCAAATACGTCTTACTACAAAACATGTTCTTTTACTCATGTCCCAGTAAGTAGACGTTCTTAGCACTCCGTGGCTGTGGGAAGAGCGACTACATTGGATCGGGTGGTCAGGCTTTCTGATTTCGTGCTCTGTGACTCGATGCTCATATTTTCAGTCACCTGTTTGTCTGGCCCAGATTTGTGGTATACAGGCAGGCGGGATTTAACTGGAATATTGCACTCACTCACTCACTCACTCACTCACTCACCCACCCACCCACCCACTCACTCACTCACTCACTCACTCACTCACTCACAGGTGTTTGCAGTTCAGAGCAGTACAAACAAGTCTTGCCGGATGTGCTGGTGTCATTTCGAACCTTGCGTGGCTTGTTATAAGGAAAAATACTGGTGGTATCGAATGCAACAAGAAAGCGCATTTGGCTTGTTCCGGAGACCTACGGCGCCTCAAACAGCTACCAACTGTGGTACAATCTGGTAGACCTTCACTCCAGTATCAGAAATAGACTAGTAATTGTGAACGGTAGGAGAGGCAATTAGTCCTGAGATAGACAGGCAACCGGCGACGTGTAGCGTGACGGAGGAACAAGCAGTAGATTTGATGTTGAGGGAACCAGCTAACTCGCTGGTAATTATTGTTGTCCGTGGTAGATGGAACACATTTTCCAGCAGGGTAACCTACAGAAGTATGCCGATCTGTACACTGTGAAGTGAACTTCTCTTCTGAATGGTCACTGCGCATGTTCAGCAACGGGGGAAATGAGGGCGCCTCTCGTCACCGGTGTTGATGTTCTCACGTAACTGATGACGATGGCGATGATGGCGATGATGGCGATGATGATGATGATGATGATGATGATGACTGTAACACGGGTTCGTGAGGGATGTTGCAATGAAGACTACAGTGACACTCGGAACAAATGAGTGAGTTTTGTTAACGCCGTTTTAAATAATATTTCCCTAACATCACGTCGTGTCAGTTTAAGGAGGTAAAGCTAACGTAACAGGTAATAGTTGTGTACCAATTTTGTGAAATCCACGGGTGTGCCTATGTTGTTGACAGACCGATGGTCCTAATCTGAGATTCCGATCACACTAGAATTAGCGACCATGATCCGACTTAACAAAAAACACAAACAGATTGCAATAATGGTTTTTTTTGGCTGATAATGTCTTTCTTTTCTTCAACTGTCAGAAGCAAAATTATACATGTCAAGACTTTTCTGGGACAATTTATTTTTTCGATAAAATCCCAGACCCCACCCACCCTGTGAATAAGCGTATTTGGGTCCGGCAAACCAGTGGTTTAAATGTCAAGCCAAGGGTGACGCTCAATCGGTTTGTCACACGCTGTAGCAATCTGGACGACTCAACTAAAATAAGTGAAGCTCATTTCTGGTGTCCCCCGCCTTGATATTGCTGGAAAATTGCCGAAAGCGGCGTAAAACAATACTCACACTACTACAAGAATACCGAAAAGACACTCAGGAGCTCTTCGGGGAAGGTGGGGAAGAAAGTTAAGAATTCGTAGGTCCAATCTTGACGTGTAGCGTCTTGACAAATAAACGTGTGAAAGAAAGTAGCGACTCTTCATTGAAGTACATGCATTTGTTGGACGTTCTATAATTAGGCACGGTGATTTCCAAGTCAATCTGGGACGGCTATAAATATGGTATCCGATTGCCTTTGTGCTTGAAGCCTTACATTCAACAGCAGTGTGGTGGTCGGTGAGTTGGGTTCAATACCCCTTTGAACAATATATCCGATTTTTATTATGTCATTTGAATATAAGAAGAAAGCCAAAATGGACGTTTACGTCTAAGATGGAAAGCACCCCCCAGGTATGGACCCGAAAGACCAATCACCATAATTTTTGTGTGTTTAGGCCTATTCCCCGATGCCATCCCACCTCTGCCTATTGCCCGCACAGGTCAACTACGCCCAGGTAGCCTGTATTCACTTCTTTTCTCACGTTCAAACAATTCTACTCCCCCATGAACTTTTATGATGCACACATAGATATCCCTCAAAGACGAGCTGTACTTTACCTCTCTAACTGTGTACCCACTCAGTTATGTTTGTTTGTTGTTTAACGCCGCACTCAAAGATATATTCCAGCTATATGACGGCGGTCTGTAAATACTCCAGTCTGGACCAGACAATCCAGTGATTGACATCTTGAGCAACGATCTACGCAAACGGGATGACATGCATCAACCAAGTCAGCGAACCTGACCACTCGATCCCGTTTGTCGACTCTTTCGACAAGCATAGTCGCCTTTTACGACAAGAATGGGTTGCTGAAGACCTATTCTACCCCGGATCTTCACGGGTCCACTCCTTTATGAAAAATGATAGAGTGAGCACAGCTCTGAACCATTATATAGGTGTGGTGTTATTTTTATATTGAGCGAGAAGCCTGTGGTCCTCATCCTATGTGAGATGAGCGAGAAGCCTATAATTGATTTGTACAAATCAAATGTGTGTTCCTCTGGTGTTCCACCCTCGCCTCGCCGCACCCTCGCAGACATATATATATATATATATATATATATATATATATATATTAAATTGATTATGATGATGAGCTTCGATCTCTACTTCACAACGTTCTGCTGTAACAAAGATTTCCAAACTTTCTAAACATGACACGATCCTGTTTCAGCGCCCATTGCAGACGAAGAAGAGATCCTTTTCATGGATTCTGAAGAAGACACACACATTGATGCAGGTGGGGTCCCGGCTTCACCGGGAGACCATGTTGTGAAGACAGGTGCCGCCCTCTGTTGGCCGACACTTCCAGGCCCTTCCAACGACAACCGTCAAAACAATCCATGGAGATTACAAAGTGCCACAACAGATCAAAGACCATTAGTACAACCACATAAACCTACTGTGACGGAACCACCCGATAATCTACCTGCAGACACAGCTTCAAAATCAGGAAAACCTAATGTGCAACTGCAATGTTTCGATAAAAGGGGAGATAACTCAAGGGGAGATAACCCTGTGAGGGTCACGTTCAGTGACCCCTTACGACCGTGTGCAGAGGTTCAAGAGACATGTTTATCTTATGGACCAGCCGGAGCTGGACCTTCGGTGAGCAGTTCACGAGAGGACAATAAAGGGGATGATGAAACGTCTCCGGGAAAGTACAGCTCGCTGAGGGAGACTGGAACGGAGGAGGAGGACGAGCAGGATTCCAGCACTGAGTTGTATGTACCGGAACGACGGATGACCCCTGCCAATTACCGGAGGGAATACCTGTGTGGACTCTTTCTGAAGTATTCAATATTTATCTTCAATTTTCTATTCTGGGTGAGTTTTATTTGTTTTCGTGTACAAGTATTGTATGATATGACATTGTGAGCCTGTTCTGCGTTTTCATCTGACAGAGTTGTATTTTTATTAAAAACTTGCAGCGGGTAAAAAAAACATTTTCCTTTTAAAACTAGGAAGAAAATAAAAGCAATTCCATATCTCATCAATGAAAAGAAGACTACTCCACGATCCTTTGTCCAGACGTTGTAATATGTGTTGTGTGAGTGAACCAGTGTAAGTATATTAATCATTAAGAACAAGATGTATGTATCGCAATTTGAGTTATCGGACAAAAGGTGACTTTTGAATAACTTGAAGCAAGAAGTTCCAAATGACCCGAACTAAGCTCCTTTCAAAGGGACCCAACGATGGCATATTTAGTGCCTGTAGGTCAACATTTTAAAACTCCGTAATGACTGGACGATTAATGCTCACTCAGATGTGTTTATTCACATGATCCTATGTCCATCGGACCGAGTGCTTGTTTCGGCACAGCGATCTGGCAGTGAGACCGATGGAAAGGTCATCATTTGAAACAGAAGCATCGTTCGAGGATTCTCCACATGACGAATACAGTTAAATAGTGTCTGTCAAATCGATCTCCTGGTTTGATTGTTAATTGAGATGAAATTGTCAAATGTGTTGTCTAATGCGGCAGAAGAGCATACGAGCTCAGCTCTGTTGATGAATGTTAGAAATCATCACTTGAAGTTAATATCCCGTACTCAAAAGAGAACCTCATACTTATTTCATGAGGACTGCAGTAGTTAATAAAGCGACAGGAGGTCTGATAATGGATGAGGTATCATCTGATTAATCAATTTGTTGAACCGGGATTCCGCGAACACAATCAGCCTCTATTTCTGTTAATACATGTTCATCGTGATGATTTCATTTGTTGTTACGAGGGCTTGCTGAAAAGTTCTAAGCCTAAGTGGGATATCTCAATAGGATTGAAACAACCTTTTGACACCAACAAGTACACTCATTTAATGAATCATAGACATAAGAACTGCAACTGTAGTGTTATTATTGTCTTTGTACCAGACCATCTTGTGAACCTACCCATTGAAATCTACAGAAATGGACAAAACTGGCTATAGGGCAGTCATCAAGTACCTGCAACTGAAAGGGCTAACTGCAACACAGATACATGCTGACATGTCACATTAGGGGATGATGCCCCTTTCTTTTCCACTGTAAACAAGTGGGCTGCGGAATTCAAGCGTGGCAGAGAGAGCCTTGACGATGACCCGCGTCCAGGAAGGCCTTCAACAGCAACCATTCCGGAAAGCATTACCCGGGTACATGACATGGTGATGGCTGATCGACGATTGACCACTCGACATATTGCCAGTGTTGTGGGCATTTATCATGAGAGGGTTGAGCACATTATCACCAACGAGTTGGGAATGACAAAAGTTTCTGCAAGATGGGTGCCAAAGCTCTTGACAGCGGATCAGAAACGTGTCAGATTCCTGACGTCCCGTGACAATTTATGCCGTTTTGAAGCAGATCCCGATGATTTTTTGGCCCGATTTGTAACCATGGATGAGACCTGGGCCCACTTGCACAAAGCGATCTTAGCGCTACGACTATTGTAAGCCTATGTTAAAGTATGGGAGTAACGATCATCTTAGCGCTAAGATCGCTTTGTGCAAGTGGGTCCTGGATTCATCACTTTCAACCAGAAACCAAAATTCAGTCTAAACAATGGAAGCATCCGGAATCACCAGCCCCCCAAAAAGCCAAGTCGGTTCCTTCTGCTGGAAAGGTGATCGCTTCAGTCTTTTGGGATTCCAAGGGTATTCTGCTGATTGACTATCTTGTAAAAGGCCAGACTATCAATGGAAGATATTATGCTGACCTACTGAGACAGTTGCGTGAAGCTATCAAAGCTAAGCGACGTGGAATGCTCACTAGCTCATGATCCACCAAGACAATGCTCCTGTTCACAAATCGGTGGTTGCCATGTCAGCGATCCATGATTGTGGCTTCGAACACATTGACCATCCCCCTTATTCACCCGATTTGTCCCCGTCAGACTTCCATCTGTTTCCCAAAATGAAAAAAGGAACTAGCCGGTCGCCATTTTCCTACTAATGACGACGTCATTTCCGCTGTGAATGACTTTTTAACGGTGGCTGAAGAAAATTTCTTCTTGACCGGCATCCAGGCCTTGCAGCATCGCTGGCAAAAGTATGTAAACCTGGAAAGGGACTGACTATGTGAAGAAATAAATGAAAACCATCGACTTGGTACGTGTCTTTCACAGTTAGGCTTGGAACTTTTCAGCCAGCCCTCGTATAATGCTATATACTGGAATGGGAAAATTCTCTGAACTATGCCCAAAAGTGTCAATACAAGTGGAATAGTCCATATTTACTATTGATGCATCATTGGTCTTTTCCTTTTGAAATATGGATGATTTAGGTCTAAATAAAGCCACAAAACCCTTTCCATAATCTTAAGAAATCCTTGCAGAGTCCGTTAATAGCCATTTGTCATTAAGGCGACAGAGGGTTAATCTGTTTTGGTACTTTGTACACGCGGTCATACCAACTACCGGGCAAAAGAAACACACCCATGTTTGATGGTGGTTAAAATAAAAGAAACAAGAAATGGTTGTGTAACTATATACGGGTGATAGTTTCCTGGTTGGCCTTTACTGCCCCAAGAGACGAATAATATCTAGTATTCCATCCATGTAAGATCAGACCAATGCCCGTTTTCCCATGCTTGTCGAAGGATCAGACTAATACCCAGTAACCCATGCTTGTCGAATGATCAGACTAATACCCAGTATCCCATGCTTGTCGTAGGATCAGACTAATACCCAGTATCCCATGCTTGTCGTAGGATCAGACTAACACCCAGTATCCTATGCTGGTCGTAGGATCAGACTAATACCCAGTAACCCATGCTTGTCGAAGGATCAGACTAATGCCCAGTATCCCATGCTTGTCGAAGGATCAGACTAATACCCAGTATCCCATGCTTGTCGAAGGATCAGACTAATACCCAGTATCCCATGCTTGTCGAAGGATCAGACTAATACCAAGTAGCCCATGCTTGTCGAAGGATCAGACTAATAATACCCAGTAGCCCATGCTTGTCAAAGGATCAGACTAATACCCAGTATCCCATGCTTGTCGAAGGATCAGACTAATACCCAGTAACCCATGCTTGTCGAATGATCAGACTAATACCCAGTATCCCATGCTTGTCGTAGGATCAGACTAATACCCAGTATCCCATGCTTGTCGTAGGATCAGACTAACACCCAGTATCCTATGCTGGTCGTAGGATCAGACTAATACCCAGTAACCCATGCTTGTCGAAGGATCAGACTAATGCCCAGTATCCCATGCTTGTCGAAGGATCAGACTAATACCCAGTATCCCATGCTTGTCGAAGGATCAGACTAATACCCAGTATCCCATGCTTGTCGAAGGATCAGACTAATACCAAGTAGCCCATGCTTGTCGAAGGATCAGACTAATAATACCCAGTAGCCCATGCTTGTCAAAGGATCAGACTAATACCCAGTATCCCATGCTTGTCGAAGGATCAGACTAATACCCAGTATCCCATGCTTGTCGAAGGATCAGACTAATACCCAGTATCCCATGCTTGTCGAAGGATCAGACTAATACCCAGTATCCCATGCTTGTCGAAGGATCAGACTAATACCCAGTATCCCATGCTTGTCGAAGGATCAGACTAATACCCAGTATCCCATGCTTGTCGAAGGATCAGACTAATACCCAGTATCCCATGCTTGTCGAAGGATCAGACTAATAATACCCAGTATCCCATGCTTGTCGAAGGATCAGACTAATACCCAGTATCCCATGCTTGTCGAAGGATCAGACTAATACCCAGTATCCCATGCTTGTCGAAGGATCAGACTATGACCCAGTATCCCATGCTTGTCGAAGGATCAGACTAATACCAAGTATCCCATGCTTGTCGAAGGATCAGACAAATACCCAGTATCCCATGCTTGTCGAAGGATCAGACTTATACCCAGTATCCCATGCTTGTCGAAGGATCAGACTAATACCCAGTATCCCATGCTGGTCGTAGGATCAGACTAATACCCAGTATCCCATGCTGCTCGTAGGATCAGACTAATACCCAGTATCCCATGCTTGTCGTAGGATCAGATTAAAGAGCATTGGTGGTCAGTGATTTTGTTGAGAGCATGTCATCGTGCCCCGATGGCGTGGATCGTTGCTTATGCGTTCAGTCACTAGTTACAGTTTCCACCCTTGCCGAACTAGGCTGGAATTCCTGGGCTCGATCGTAGCGCCACCAGTGGTTATTACGAATTATTTCCTTTCTATGTCTCTCCTTTTGACCAATCAGATTCCACCCCTCTTATCACTTGCATTTGCTTCAAACAAAATGGCGGCGCCCAGTCAAGACGATCTGACCGATAATCAAGAACTATATTGTGATAAAACGTGTCTTACATCGCAAAATCACATGAGCACTTTGATTAAAAACCTGAAAAGATTTGGAAAATATCTCTTGACAACGAGTTGGCGGAGCACATGCTTTGCAAATCCTGCAATCGACCGACATCTGCATGACAGTTTACGAACCGGATTTCTATTTCGTTGCACGATTGTGATTGGACTATGCATAGACTCGTTAGTCCAGCCAAAATGTAACTCCATAATACAAGCCCAGTTCGGCAAGGGTGGAAACTGGACTTTTATAGTCATTTAAGTCACTTGCCTCGGGATGATGATTATTTGACATGATATAGCTGGATTGTTGCAGACTGCGTCGTAAAGCAACACACACACACACACACACACACACACACACACACACACACACACACACACACACACACAATACAATCAAATACAGGAGCAAAAGGCAGACAGTAGATTTTAAAGTGTAAATATTTTAAGAAGCTTTAAGAAGTTAATCATGTTACTGTGGTTCAGCATCTGCATTTTCACATTAAGGAAATTGCACGGTTTGTGGTATAATTTCAAGGCCTCAGTAAGGCTTCCAAGTGGTTTTATGTGAAGGACGTTTCCGAATTCGTCGCATCAATTACATAAATGATGCCTGATGCAATTCCTTATGTTGACTTTTACCATATGTGTTTTTTCAGGTGCACAACTGACTTGCCCTTGTATGTGTTTGTGACGGTGGCACCTGGTAGCATCACTATTTTGATAGTGATTCATAAACACATCCTCATGGTATAGCATCTTGCCGAGGCAAGGTAGTTAATCGACTATATCAATCCAGTTTCCACATGACTTTTATAGTTAGTTAACGCCCTTGCTTGGGGAAGATGATGATATAGTCGGAATCGTACAATCGACTCTTATCAAAGGTTTCTTGTATTCTGGAAAGGGTTTTGTTGTTTTTATTTAATGTTTAATATTTATTCTTCAGTGAAACACTGACAGTTTCACGCGCACTACAAACAAACTCTCTATGATTTTGATGCCATGCAGGTGGCCGGGGTGGTGGGGTTCGGTTTCGGCTACTGGACCCTGACGTCCAAGGGGCAGATATTCGCCGGGGGCGTCTACTTCTTCCTCGACCCCGCCGTCATGCTGTGCATCGTGGGCTGCACCATCTTCATCGTCGCCTTCTTCGGCTTTCTAGGCGCGCTCAGGGAAAACGTACGCTTGTTGAAGATTGTAAGTGACTGGTGGTTAAAAGTCTTATTTCCTCTCGTCGGAGATCCGTGTTCTAATCCCTACATGGGTACTCCTTTCTGTTTTAATGCTCAGTGAAAATATACTGAAAATAATTTCATAAAATGCATGCCCTTATGGGAAGTATATTATTTTGTTTATCATCGTTATCCTCATCACCATCACATCATCACTTCCATCGTCTCCTTCATCTTCATCTTCACGAGCAGCGACATCATCGCCATCATTAGCCTCATTTGTATCATAATGTTCAAACAGATCCGTGCCGAATACGGTTCAACACAGATCCCCAATGACCTATATGCTTGTCGTTAGAGTTACTAAAATGGATCGAGTAGTCAGGCTCGGTGACGTGGTTGATTGCGTGTCATCGTACCCCAAGGGCGTTGGGCGTTGCTCATTATATCAAACCGTTTTCGATTATTTACAAACCGCCGCGATCAGCCTGGAATATTGCTGGCATCGGCGTAAAACAGCATGCTAGTAGAATTAGATGTACATTATAGTATGAAAAACATCTGGTTCAGTATTAATGACGTTTTGACAGTGCAGGATAAGGGCCTTTTCTGATCAAGTGGTAAACCTTGAAACATTATCATACATGTCCAAACATCTGACAACTTGCCTTATTTCCTTTTTGCATGTTTTTTATTCTGACATGATCAAGTACATAAATGTGGCTAAAAATCGAGAGGTCGATTTCAAGAGCAAATGTAACGGAGAGTAAGTCGGTAACAGAAGATGCATTTGTCGCTATTTGCGTGATGTCAATATTTGTACGTCCTATGGATATAAGCTTGGGTCAAAGAATTGTCTCTAGTTAAATATTACAAACACCTTTAAGTTTTTTTTTCTAGTGAAGATTAGATTGTGGCCCAGTATAGTAAAGCCACTTAAATATCGTAGGGTGGCCTCCTTAGCTGCAAGGGTCCTCTGGTTGTAGGTTCTAATCTCGCCTCTATAATGACCCTTGGTTTGTCGGCACCATACCTGTGCTTGTGGGTTGCATCAAAGTGCACGCATCAGCGGATATTACGTAGTTTTCACATGAAGACGACGTTGAATATACCTTTCAAAGCAGGTTCAACCCAACCACGGGCCCATGGGAGGCCCAGTCGTCTAAGGTGCCGCAATTCGCTGCGCAGAGTTACGTGTCGCAGACACTTATTATTGTGGGGTCGAATCTCGATTCGCTCCAATTACATTTCTAGGTTTGTTAGCACCATACTTACTCACTCACTCACTCACTCACTCACTCACTCACTCACTCACTCACTCACTCACTCACTCACTCACTCACTCACTCACTCACTCACTCACTCACTCACTCACTCACTCACTGTTCCAGTTTCGCGTGTGCCTCGTGCTGGTGCTGTTCATCCAGGTTGGTATTGGCATCCTGGTATTCGTGTTCTACACCATGCCAGAGGCCAGGGAGTCCCTCCTGTCTGGACCAGAGACCATACTAAAGGACGCCATCAAGCGTTACCATGACGACGAAGAGAAACGGAAATGGGTCGATCTTATACAGAAAGAGGTACATGTATATCCAGCTGTATTATTAAACCCACAGACAACGATCATACAAGGAATAGACTGCTCACAGTGCATGTAAGCAATGTACAAAATGCATACTGAATTCAACCAATGTTGTTTTGTAATCTGACTCTGTTCTCTTGTATAGAGAAATGCGCCCGATACTGTACAGATGCTTACTTATACATGTCCATGGAAAGTGAGAGAATGATATTTTCTCCAGTGTTTCTGCCTTTGAAAAGCACACAAGGAAGACAATCTTTGCTTGTATGTCCATAATGGGAATAATTTTAATTACGTATTGTAAATCTCGAAAGTATTTATTGTCGTAATCGTAGCTTGACATGAAGGTCTAAGACCTGCCTAACTTCGGGCCTTCGCCCATACCAAGCTGACATGCTGTGATGTCACTGACGTCCTGTTCATATTCTGTTAAATTATCTTACTCACTCACTCAGTTCAAGTGCTGCGGCATGAGCCACAATAAAATCGGCTACATGGACTGGCAGCTCAACCGCTATTTCAACTGCTCCGCCAGCAACCCTAGTGCTGAGAGGTGTGCCGTGCCCGTGTCATGCTGCATATTCGAGCCTGTAAGTACCTTACATCACCTTATATAAGGCGTCATGCTACACATTAGAGCCTGTAAGTGCCTTACATCACCTTATATAAGGCGTCATGCTGCACATTTGAGCCTGTAAGTGCCTTACATCACCTTATATAAGGCATCATGCTGCACATTGGAGCCTGTAAGTGCCTTACATCACCTTATATAAGGCGTCATGCTGCACATTGGAGCCTGTAAGTGCCTTACATCACCATATATAAGGCATCATGCTGCATATTAGAGCCTGTAAGTATCTTACATCACCTTATATAAGGCGTCATGCTGCACATTAGAGCCTGTAAGTACCTTACATCACCTTATATAAGGCGTCATGCTGTGTATTCGAGCCTGTAAATACCTTACATCACCTTATATAAGGCGTCATACTGCACATTAGAGCCTGCAAGTGCCTTACGTCACCATATATAAGGCGTCATGCTGTGTATTCGAACCTGTAAATACCTTACATCACCTTATATAAGGCGTCATACTGCACATTAGAGCCTGTAAATACCTTACATCACCTTATTTAAGGCGTCATGCTGCACATTAGAGCATGTTAGTACCTTACATCACCATATATAAGGCGTCATGCTGCACATTAGAGCCTGTAAATACCTTACATTACCTTATATAAGGCGTCATACTGCACATTAGAGCATGTTAGTACCTTACATCACCATATATAAGGCGTCATGCTGCACATTAGAGCCTGTAAATACCTTACATCACCTTATATAAGGCGTCATGCTGCATATTAGAGCCTGTAAATACCTTACATCACCGTATATAAGGCGTCATGCTGTGTATTCGAGCCTGTAAATACCTTACATCACCGTATATAAGGCGTCATGCTGCATATTAGAGCCTGTAAATACCTTACATCACCTTATATAAGGCGTCATGCTGCATATTAGAGCCTGTAAATATCTTACATCACCTTATATAAGGCGTCATGCTGCATATTAGAGCCTGTAAATACCTTACATCACCTTATATAAGGCGTCATGCTGCACATTAGAGCCTGTAAATACCTTACATCACCTTATATAAGGCGTCATGCTGCATATTAGAGCCTGTAAGTACCTTACATCACCTTATATAAGGCGTCATGCTACACATTAGAGCCTGTAAGTACCTTACATCACCTTATATAAGGCGTCATGCTGCACATTAGAGCCTGTAAGTACCTTACATCACCGTATATAAGGCGTCATGCTGTGTATTCGAGCCTGTAAATACCTTACATCACCTTATATAAGGCGTCATGCTGCACATTCGAGCTCGTAATTATCTTATATACCTTTAGATATTGTATAGCCACGTCCGTAAGTACACTACATACACTTTAAGTTTATAAGTTGTTATTATAAATTTTGTTTATAACACTCTATATGGATTTCTATTTGGGTTGGTTCCATTCATCTCATGACCAATATTAGGATCGGGTGGTCAGACTCGGTGACTTGGTTAATAATGTTTCATCGTACCTCGGCGGATTATACTCCATTTTCATACAATCTCTATAATATCCGATCTTTTACTGCGATATCTCTGTGTGTGAAGGTCTGTCAATTCCTCAATAGGAAGTCGAGTCAACTTTCTAATCAGCCAGTTAGCGTCGAGGCTCCTAAATCCCGGTACCAGTTAGCGAAGCATTCAGACCAGGGCATGTGATTTCTGCATATCAAAACGAATTTAAACGACCAGTTCTGAATGTAAATAATAAAGACTAGGGCATTATATTGTTAAGGATATTGTATACACCCTGTCGTTTCTGAGTGCCAAGGCATCAACACCCAAAAGGGAGTACCATCGAATGAAATCTGTGTTCTGTGTGGGTTTCCTTTGTTGAATAGACGTTTGCGAATTCAGGTGGTAAAGACAATGAAGCCGAATTGTTTTATGTAGCTGACATCTCAAGACCCCATGCATCCTTCAGTCAGACTGGTCGGTCAAGGTTCGCTTCGGATTTACCTGACGCGACATTCTATTGGGAGGTTGTCAGATGTTCACGCAGCGAGGTATTGTGTCCTGAGATTGCCCGTTCATGTTTTATATTATAAAGAGATCTCATTTGTAAATGAAGAGTATTATAGTGCTTGCTGTATATTATTTAAGATGGGTGTTTAAAGGGTGTTTTTGATGTCACAAGTTTGTTTTAAGTCTTAGTTCCCATAGACCTGAAACTGGATGAAAGGATATTAAACTGGCTCATATGATATTAAACTGTCACATATGATATTAAACTGTCACATATGATATTAAACTGGTTAATATGATATTAAACTGTCACATATGATATGAAACTGGTTCATATGATATTAAATTGTCGCATATATTAAACTGGCTCAGATAATATTAAACTGTCACATATATTAAACTGGCTCATATGATATTAAACTGGCTTATATGATATTAAACTGTCACATATGATATGAAACTGGTTCATATGATATTAAATTGTCGCATATGATATTAAACTGGCACATATATTTAACTGGCTCAGATGATATTAAACTGTCACATATATTAAACTTGCTCAGATAATATTAAACTGTCACATATATTAAACTGGCTCATATGATATTAAACTGGCTTACATGATATTAAACTGTCACATATGATATCAAACTGTCACATATGTTATTGAACTGTCTCATATAATATTAAACTGGCTTATATGATATTAAACTGTCACATATGATATCAAACTGTCACATATGTTATTGAACTGTCTCATATAATATAACATATAAATGTTTATTTCAGGGAGACTATATCAATGTCATGTGCGGATTCGATACAACAAATAAACCGGTAAATATTTTGAAATAGTTTGTTCCTCAAATCAATGTTGTTCGGAATACAGTACGCATATCAGCGTGTTAACATTTCCACGTGCAAATGACTGCGTGTCAGATGATATTAAATCAGTTGATAATGTTGAAAACAAAAACGTCTCATATAAAAACTTTTAATTGTTCCTGAGTCTAAATTCTGGTCGAATATTCACCTAAACAATTCCCTCTGCATACTACGAGTATATTGTCTTACAGAATGCATTACAGAGAAAATGAAGCAAGCTTATTAACGTTAAGGCCATAAAATGGTTATTATCGGTTTGTTAAAATCGCTTCTATGTTCAAATAGCTTATTGCTCAATGTTATCTCCTATAATAACGTGAAGCAGAATCCCAGAGATACTTGTCCGCGACACACTCCCATGTTTGCCTTCTTCATTAGCGCTGTTTGCCTACTCTGGTTCTTGCCTCTGTTGATATCCAGAGGAGTAAAGTACTCCACAGAATCAACACCAAGGGCTGCATGCGTGGCTTGGCGGACTGGATGCGAGGGAATGAATCATACATCGGTGGTCTTCTGTTGGCGTTTGTCACACCTCAAGTGAGTCACATTATGTGTAACGATGCTAATGGACAATTCCTAATATTTCATTTATATGCACGGCGCATCAACTTAATGTGAGATGTGTCAACGAGGGGTATTCAATGAAATTGTGGTTACCACTATATTCCACAGAAAGTGAACTTAATGGAAAATAATGGAGGCCCACGCGATGTAGTTATGGTGAGAGAGTGAGTGAGTGAGTTGGGTTTAACGCCGCTTTTAACAGTATTCCAGTTATATCGCGGCGTGTCAGCTTAATGTGGGAGGAAAGCCCGAATTGATGCAGGTCTCAGACGTTTACCACTTCCGTGAAACCCACGAGCACGGGTATGGTGCTGACAAACCTAGAAACATAATCGGGGCGAACCAGGATTCGAACCTACAATCATAGGTTTCATGCGTACCCAAGGGACGCAACACTGCACAGCAAATCGCGGCGCCTTAGACGACTGGGCCACCCGTGTCCCTGTAGTTATGGAAATAGATAAAGTTTAAAGATTATTTAACAATAATATCATAGCCTATTTTCTAGAGTTATGTATAAATGAGCACTATGAAATAGGAGGGCTGGTCGGGGATCTTCATTCAGTAAAATCAGTCTGCGATGTATGGTATACTCGGACCCCATGGTACCGCGGCATTCATCGTATCGCGGCATTTGTGATTTCCGGTAGTTCACGCGGGACACGCCTCTTAGCGGCTGTCTATTAATTCAAATCAGTAACCAGGAAGTGCTCACTTCGTAAACAATTTCAATTTCCTCGGAATGTTCCGTCTGCTGTAAGTTAGGAGTTATTAATCCGTTGATACATATTTCTGGCATCTGTTGTAATATTGCCTTACCCCCATCTATCAATGGCCAACGATATAACCCGCAGTTCCCTAAGTAAACTTTCTCTATCGACCTGAACTAGATCATCTGCATATTCATGGCGACTAATGAGGTAACGGAAGTTACGTAGTCCGCACATTTTTTCCCGCTCGGTGCCCAGAATCTATTGGGAGATCATAAGGGCCATAATGCCAAACTTAAAAATACGTTCTTCACTAGTAACCAAAAGATAAATACATACTTTGGGCATACTAGGAGTGCCTTTTATATATTCATTGTTGACTTTTAACATTTTTCCATTTTGTGACAAATTATTGTCATCCAATTTTTTTTAAACAATCTTAAAATATCATTTCTGATATTTTGATGTTGACTTATAAAAATATGTTTCTCTTACTTTTCGGTAAATATGCATTGAATACCTATTGCTGATAACACATTTAGAATTTTACTTGTGCTGTCTTTGCACTTTTCTGAACAAATCACTGATGTCTGGCATGATCATACCAAGTGGTTGGTAGAATTATGTCCTCTTTTTGTCCAATTCGAACCTCCATACACAACTTTTCTCTGTACCGCGATACGATGGAGTTCTCTACCTTGTCAAACAGAGCGCGAGGACCGGCTTTTACTCGGAGCTACTGATGTAAATAATGAACTTTTATCAGTAAAATATGAACACAAATAAACATAAAGGTTAGTGAGTGCATTTTGTTCCGTTTAGCGTACATGACAAGTACCGCGATACCCCGAGGTTGCAGGCTACTGATAGACTAAGAATCATTATCGGCGCAAATCTCGGATTCGAACCCACAACCTGCGGATCATGGTTTGATTTAAGGACAAAAGTTTTAGACTATTGGGGCACCCTTGTCCTGTTACTCTGTAGAAGTAGTAGTAGTAGTAGTAGTAGTAGTAGTAGAAGCAGAAGCAGCGGTAATAGTAGTAGTAGTAGTAAAAGTAGTATCAGCAATAGCATCAGTAGTAGTAGCAGTAGTAGCAGAAGTAATAGCAGCAGCAGTTGTAATAGTAGTAGCGGCAGTAGTAGAAGTAGCAGCAGTAATAGTAGTATCAATAGTAGTCGTAGTAGTTGTAGCAGTAGCAGCAGCAGTATTAGTAGTTGTGATGTATATGTGAGGTATTACATGAATGTTGATTTGTCTATCCACAGGTGCTCGGGGTTGTATTTGCGACACTGTTCATCAAACATATTGTGAGAAGCCGAGCAAGGTGGCGGCTCCTGAGAAGAACATGATCCGGACCCGTCTGTTGTTGTAGTGTCGCTCCCAAACCTCCAGTCTTTCGCTGTCACAACCAGGTATAGCCATCACACGTCACACCGGACATGGATCAGTCTATCGAACAACTGTCTCACAAGTCACATCTCTCAAACTTCAGTAATAACTCACAAGTCACGTCTCTCAAACTTCAGCAATAACTCACGAGTCACGTCTCTCAAACTTCAGTAATAACTCACAAGTCACGTCTCTCAAACTTCAGCAATAACTCACGAGTCACGTCTCTCAAACTTCAGCAATAACTCACAAGTCACGTCTCTCAAACTTCAGCAATAACTCACAAGTCACGTCTCTCAATCATCAGTAATAACTCACAAGTCACGTCTCTCAATTATCAGTAATAACTCACAAGTCACGTCTCTCAATCAACAGTAATAACTCACAAGTCACGTCTCTCAATCATCAGTAATAACTCACAAGTCACGTCTCTCAAACTTCAGCAATAACTCGCGAGTCACGTCTCTCAAACTTCAGCAATAACTCACAAGTCACGTCTCTCAATCATCAGTAATAACTCACAAGTCACGTCTCTCAATCATCAGTAATAACTCACAAGTCACGTCTCTCAAACTTCAGCAATAACTCGCGAGTCACGTCTCTCAAACATCAGTAATGTCTCACGAGTCACGTCTCTCAAACATCAGTAATGTCTCAAAAGCCACGTCTCTCAAACATCAGTAATGTCTCAAAAGCCACGTCTCTCAACATCAGTAATGTCAATATAGAGCAATATAGAAAGAATATATTTGTAATGCGATCTGGACAAATGGATTTCTATAACACTGCAAATTACATTTGCAGGTACGATGATTCTGCTATGAGGTTTATCACATGAAGTTGCCCGGTACAGCTGTCTGACACGTGCTTTAACGGGAATGTTTGCCCCATGACTGAACCAACCCTTCTCTCCTACCGCAGACAGAGCTACTGTTGACGGAATACTGTAATTTGTCTTTCAATATGAATAGTGATGAAGAGCCTTGTTGAAGTCGAAACAACATTCTGCCTGACTTGTACGACATATATGATACATCGCTGAAACATTTCCACGTGGACTACATACCTACATAGCATGGCCACAACGTCTTCACTGTCACAAGGAAGGCATCAATGAACCTTAGATGTCCTTTCACTTTAATATGAAACACGGTCAGCGACCTGTAAATGTCCTGAAGACTTTCACATGAACACCACCGATGAAGGTTAAATGTCCTATAAACTTTCACGAGAGCATCACGAACGAAGGTCGGCTGTTCTCTCATATTACTCACATCAATGAATGTTAAATGTCCAAAATACTTTCACATGAACGCCATCAATTAGAAGAGGAACATACTGTGTTTTCAATGTAGAGGTAGATTATTTGTAGATTCAACCGCGCTAAATTGAATTTGGAACCGAACGATTGAAATGATTTAAATTATTTGGTGATGAAACACCATCAATAAAGGTTAGATGCCCTATACACTTTTATACGAACAGCATCAATGAAGGTGATATATCATGTAGAGTTTCCTGTGAACCCAATCAATGAATGTTACGCGTCCTGTATACTTTCATACGAACACCATCAATAGGGGTTATGTGACCTGTACACCTTAATACGAGCGCCATCAATGAAGGTGACATATCGTGTAGAGTTTCATGTGAACCCAATCAATGAATGTTACGCGTCCTGTATACTTTCATCTTTCATATGAACACCATCAATAGAGGTTACGCGCTTGTATACAATCATACGAACACCATCAATGGAGGTGAGATTCCTGGACATTTATGTGAACCCAATCATTGAAGGTTACACGTTCTAAATATCTTCATGGACCACATAATGAAGGTTTCTTATATGTATGAAGTCAACGTACTACACGAAAGACGTTCATGTGATCCATATGTTTGATGTAGCTTTTGTATGGTATAGATACCTGTATATGTATCGTAAATCTATTAAGTGTTACGTAACGTTAGGCACCTGTGAGGATTCTGCGAACGACAGATCTCCAGATCCCAATGATGTAACATCCGACTGAAGAACCGGTGACCAGGTTTGGTGACATGATTGCTCCTATTCCCAGTCATTGGTTCCACTATCCAATTATAAAGACGGCACCATGGTGCTCGATGAATAAAAAATGGCATTTGTTCCTTCCTGTATAGCCATTTATGATAACTAATTTTATAATTCATACGGATGTCGATACTACAGCAGTTGCCTTTAGTGAAACTATTTCAGTTTACCTTTTTGTTTTTTTCATATTGAAATCGATGAAAATCCCAGTTTAATCACGTGCTGGTTTGTTGTTTGACTATTGTTTACATCGGTATTCATAATTGTTTGTTCAAAAAATAAAAAAAAATAAAAACACTTTTTAAGATTTTCAAATATTGTCTTTGTTCGGTTAAGCTGTTAAATGTATATCAAAAGTGAATACAAATTGTTTGTTTTGAAAATTGTATTTCCAGCACACTTTCCATCTTGTAAGTGATTACTTAAACAAACCACACGAGCGAACGTCTACTGCACATTTTGAAAGAATAGGCCAAGAAAACAACCAGTTACACGGCCCCAAACATTTTGCTACCGGCAGTGCAGGACATGCTTACCCTGTTCGACAACACTAACTCATCAATCATTTTCAGTGATCCATTCATATAATTTCTAACCCTATTTTACCTTTCACGCACGATGGAATCTGATTAAGCAGTTAATCGGGACTGGTTGTTCTCTGGCGTTGACGTTTCATACTCTTGTGTTCATCGTAAAAATCATCACCAGATACTTATCACTTCAAACATGTCATTTGATTAAATAATACCCCAAAATGCAAACCTGTTCATGTGTTTCCCCCATCTGTTACATGTCTGAATGAAGTCAAGGTATTTGAAGACGTTCATGTAACCCGTATAAAACAAATTTATGCGCGCATATATACGTATACATCCATGTCTTATAATGAAACTATTGCTCTCTGGGGAGAATATGCCTTCAGCGTCTGATTATTTCTTGTGCTTCTTGTAAAAGACAACTAAAAACGGACGGACCGGGTGGTCCACCTTGGTAACTTTGTTGTTTGCGTGTCATGCCCGGTGGTGTGGTTCATTGATCTTCTCTCGGTCACTGGTTTGTCTGTCCCATAATATACAATGACGCCTTGCCTAGGATATATATATATATGTGAAAACAGGCGCTTGTTGTCAAATACAGTTTGTAAATAAGTAATAGTATAAACAGGCAATCTGTACGATACCAGTATCGATCGTTAACGTCATATCACTGGAGTAGCCATTGTGTGAACGCGCTCTGACCTGAATACCTGAATGGCATAGCTATTCTTATTTTTCTTTCACAAACATCATATCATACATAATACATCAGTGGTCATTGTAAACCATAGTTGTCAGGCTGTTTGAAGACAATAGTATCGACAAAATGCTTTTAGTCATATGATATCCAGCATTTTGTTTCTGGTGCAACGTCCTGAGTAACGTTGATGTGAATAACGTTAGCGGGATCCCTACTTTACGTGTCTGATGAGAAACATTACACATTTCCATGTGCGTCATAACCTCGAATAAACAATTAAACCTAGTTTAGGATTTCAAGGTTTGTTTGTTTGTTGTTTTACACCTCACTTAGCAATATTCCATCTATATGGCGGTGGTGTGTAAATAATCGAGTTTGGACCAAACAGTCCATTGATTGACATCATGAGCATCGATCTACGCAATTGGGATACAATGACATGCATCAACCAAGTCAGCGAACCTGACCACCCGATCCTGTTAGTCGCCTCTTACGACAGCATGGGTTGTCGAAGACCAATTCTTACCCGGATCGTGTTCAAATGAATTTTATGTCCAAAACGAAATATTTATCTCCTAAACATCATAAGTTATCATCGATATCGCGCTGTATTATCGAAATTATAGATAGACTACATAAAATGACAAAACTATTTGTCTTAAAATCAGTTGGTTTACCATCGTTTTTTATCAAAATTACGGAAATACAGAATATCGGACAAAAATATAGCTGCAAAGCAGCAATGGCGGGCTCCAAGCTATACTGTGCACAAACGTCCATGTTCGAAGCCTCATTTGGTTTCCTTGTACCAAATCCGTCAAATGTAGGCACCACTTGTAGGGTATCGCCGCTACGAAACTGTCGTGTGCCGGAGTGTCCAAGTCTGTTCTTACCCCATTTCCGACCTCGGACATGTTCGACTCCATTTAAGGTTTGCTTGTACCAATTCCGTAAAGAAATAATTCACCGGAAATCGCCACAATGAAATTGGCGTGCTCCAGGGGTGTCCCAAATATTAATCAAACATTACCACCAAAGGTGTTACTTTTAGCATGCAACCAAGAACAAACAATAAGATGCATATGGCACACTAACTTCATGAAAACTTTCAATAGTTTCTGTGGAGAACCTTACAAGATATGATCTTCAAAGTCAAGTTTCGGTGAAAAAAATGATCAAAATCAAAATCCAATAGGTCCGTCGCTATAAACGATATCCAAAATCGGTTAAGAGAGTTTGATGTGCTATGTAAGGAGACCATTCTCAGAAAGTTTGAAAACATTTCATGCAATGGATTCAGAAGAGTATGCATTCAAAAACAGGTACCCAAAAGACAATGTGAAAACCTTGAATCCAATATGGCTGCCAAACCACGTGACCAATGACCAAAGTTAAAGATCATAAAATGTCAAGCATCCAAAGCAGCAGACATATCTAAAGTTTGAAAGTAATTGGACAAGCGGTTGCGGAGCAATAGGGCTAAATATAGCTTTAAAAATTGTTTATTTTTCAGTTATCTGCCCTTGGTCTTTGGACCTACGGCCTTGGAATTTGTGTGGTATCTGGTACTTAAGTATCTGGATACACATACAAAATTTTAACGGAATTGAGACAGTGGTTATTATGCTAGCTCTGGTACAAAAATCGGCGGAATAATAATAATATTAAATCGAACGATAGCACTGGGACTCTTCAGCTTTTCGGCTTGGAGACTCTTTAACAGGCTGTAACGTCTTTGTCAGTTGAGCTCCAGTCAAATGAATGAATGTTCTGAGTTCGTCGGGGCCCCGGGTTTATGTCGTATTGCTGAGATAAAGTGCTAAACCTGTTTCCGACCTCGTCCATGTTCGAATCCTGATATGGTTTGCCTGTACCAACGCCGTCAAATGTAATGAACCGCTTGTCAGACATCCCCACATGTGTCCCAGTGTGTTCTTAACCCATGTTTGACTTCGACCATGTTCGAATACTCAAATGGTTTGCCTGTACCAACGCCGTCAAATGTAATGAACTGCTTGTGAGACATCACCACATATGTCCCAGTGTGTTCTTTACCCATGTCTGTCTTCGACCATGTTCGAATCCGCATATGGTTTGCTTGTACCAACTCATGCAAAAGATAGTCACCGTTTGCAGGACATCACCGCTACGAAATTGGTGTGTGCCAGAGTTAACCAGTGTGTTCTAAACCCATTTACCACCAAGACAATGTTCGAATCCCGATAATCGCCTCTTAAGACAAGCATGGGTTGCTGAAGACCAATTCTAACCCTCATCTTCAAGGGTAGTATACATACTGCAAAAGACACTTGGCGGTCAAAGGGAAATAACCCTAGGTTTTCTGAGCGATGTATTAGGTATTTTGTCAATATTACCACCAAGCGGTGTTACTTTTAGCATGCAACCAAGAACAAAATATCATGTACATATGTCCGACTAACTTCATGTGAACTTTCAATGGTTTCTGTGGAGAACCTTACAAGATATGATCTTTGTATAAAGTAAAAATCCGGTGAAAGAAATCATCAAAATCAAAATCCAGTAGCGCCTTCACCAAGAAAGATATCCAAAAACGGCTATGCTTATTTGTTGTGTTCTGTATGGAGACAATTCTCAGAAAGATTGAAAGCATTTCATGCAGTGAATTCAGAGGAGATAGCATTTGAAGACAGGTACCCAAAAAACCCTGTGAAAACCTTAAATCCAATATGGCCGCAACTAAAAAAGATATCCAAAAACGGCTATGCTTATTTGTTGTGTTCTGTATGGAGACAATTCTCAGAAAGTTTGAAAGCATTTCATGCAGTGAATTCAGAGGAGATAGTATTTGAAGACAGGTACCCAAAAAACCCTGTGAAAACCTTAAATCCAATATGGCTGCCAAACCATGTGACCAATGACCAAAGTCAAAGAACAAACAATGTCAAGGAACTGAAGCAGCAGATACATGCAAGGTTTGAAAGTAAACGGACGAACGGTTCTGGAGCAGCAGGGCAAAATATATCGTCCAAAAATACTTGTTTTTCAGTTATCTGCCCTTGTCCTTTGGGCCTATGGCATTGTGTTTTTGGGGGAATCTAGTACTCAAAGGTCTCCATACACACACAAAATTTGAACAAAATCGGGCCAGTGGTTATTTTGCTAGCGCTGGTACAAAAATCGGCGGAATAATAAATAATAATAATAAATAATAAATCGAACGATTACAATAGGGCTTCCAGCCTTTCGGCTTGGAGCCCTAATAAGACTACTTTTTGATACCTCCTGTAATCTAGAATGTGTGTTATACTTAAACACATATTGCTTAATACAAGAAAATCCACATTGTTGGTTTGAGTGAGTGAGTGAGTTTGGTTTTACGCTGCTAAGAACAGATATTTCAAGATGATAGGAAAAAGCAATGTTAACACCTTGGTGAAACATACGAGGACGGATATGATACTGACAACCATAGAATCATAATCAGGTCGCATCCCGGATTCGAACTCACGATTTCGGGATTCTGGCATCCATAAGGGAAGCAACTCAGCTCAGCGAATTGCGGCGCCTTATACGACTGGGACACTCGTGTCCCCCTACATTGTAGAAAAGTATACACACATAATGTTGCAATAGTTCATTTGTCTTCAATAGTCAACCCTTCGGACTTTTCATCGCTTTGTTTACAGGCTCACTAGCTTTGTGCATTGACATAGTTTTAAGGGTATTCTAAACTACATATTAAACTGACACGCAGGAAAGGACGAAACGTGTTTACACAGCCTTATATTCAGCTTGATAAATTTCGCAGTCGAAAAGACCTATCGGACTCTCTTTGGCTTCTTTTTACAATCAACCGAACCTTGATAGAAGTCTGAATCAACTGAAAACAGCTTACAAAAAAGCCCAAGAACTTCTCATTGTGTCAAAAGAGCCTCGGTTAGCCTGCATGCGTATCATTAACCCCTACGCGTGGCTCGTAGCTCCTGCATTTAGTCTTTCCCAGTCTCATTATTTATAGCCAGGTTAGAATTGGTCTTCAGCAACCCATGCTTAAGATGAGCGGCTACTAACAGGATTGGGTGGTCAGGCTCGCTGATTTGTTGATGAATGTCATGGTATCTCAAGTGCGTAGATCGATGCTCATGATGTCAATCTTTGGATTGTTTGACCAAGTCTCGATTATTTAGTCTGTCGTCATATAGCTTGCATATTGCGAAACAACGAACAAACATACAAACTATTTTATTTTTAGGCCGTCGTGATATAGCTGGAAGAAGGGTGGCGTTAAACGACATTCAGCCATTCGCACAATGGAGAAAGCATTCTCCATCCGGACCACATCAAATCATGCTGAGAGGTGACTGTTGACAATATGGAGAAGTCAACGGAAGAAATGGGTAAACTTCACGATGAACCCACTTACGTTATCACATGCTGCATGTGTGTTTGTTTCTCAACGCCTCAGCAATCCTCAGCTATAAGACGGATGTCTTTAAAGAACTAAGTTGTTGTTATTATTATGTACAGATTAAATTAAAAAATGCAGCAAAGAGGGTTTGGGTGATCTTGGCTGGTTAGGCTCATCATCAGCTCAGCCCAGACAGCGAATGGGACTTCTCCCAGGAAGCGCTGCCTAATCAAACCCACACAGAACTTTTCGGAGAATGTTAAGACTCCCCAACACTGCAGCCTTCTGCATTACCCAGATTGTCAGAAGGGCTGTATCCCTGGTAGCAAACCCGGGTACTCTCCCAAAGTCAGTCAACAAATTGGGAGGTACCAAACCTAATTAAGGCACCGAGAACAATGGATCCGTTCAATGGATCAGTGTGCACTCGATTTTCATTCTCAGCTCCGTGGGAAGTATGTAACCCAAGCTAGCATATTCACAGTCACATCACCATCTCATCTTGCCGGGTGTCCATTCAGTGCTGGGTGACCAGAGGCATATTCGAACATAGTCACTTGCCGTCGAATTGACTGGCCTTGGAAAACTATCATGTGATTTTCTTCAGACACAATCTGGAAGGTTAGCCTAGATTTTATGTTCTCTTCCATAACTGTTCCTCCTCATCGTACTCCCTTAACATCCAATGTACGTGGACCTGGCAAACGGACCTGGCTAACGGTCCTGGCAAACGGACCTGGCAAACGGACCTGGCAAACGGGGATAGTGTGTGTGTCGTGATCGATAGAAGCATTATTCATATTAACCATATATATTCAAATAAAGCATAAGGCCCATGTATAATTTTATTCTAATGTATAGTAAACATAAACAAATGACTATTACCCTTGGATTATTCACACACGTATTGACTTGAATCACCAGTTTGGTTCTATGTATATATTCTACTAATCATCCGTCTCCGTGTTGTAGTGGAAGAGCGTCCGTCAGGAAAGCGGAAGGTCCGTGGTTCGAAAGAGGAAAGTATAACGAGTTTGAGACTGGGGTAAAAAATGAATTTGCAACAAAATGACGACTACCATGTTTGAAATGTATTGTAAATTAATATGCCGAAAAAAGAACACTTTTATTGAGTTTTAAAGATAAGACAGACATCGGCAGTTGTGTATTATGCGAATCTTTTAATTTTTTTAAATATTTAAAAAAATAAAACGAAGTATTTTTTGAGTGCTGACTAAGCGACAGTACAGTTTACTTTTTCAAAACATGATATTGTTAATTTAAGATATTTTCATTTAAAAATCCACTCAACTGAGAGGTATAGTTTCTTTTGCTCCTCGGATTATTAACTAATTAAGTTTACTCAGTATTCTGCCATGAATATGGAAATTACTCGATTCTGATTGGTGAATCAGAGGCTATTAATTCACAATAAACCCCCTATGATTGAAACAGTGGGTTAGACGGCCGCATCACCGCGGAAGCTGATATTCATAGAATAGTACTTTTTTCAGTCATTGTCGGTAGGCACATTTAAATAATTATATCTACAATTACAGGTTCCAATATGCACAGATGCGGTTACTACAATATTCAAAGGATGTGACAATACATTTCGAGCAGAAAACCCGACGGAAATCTCAAAAGAGAATGTATTTACGTTTTGGAGACAAAAGAGACCTTGGTATTTGGCACTTTTCTATATACGACCGTGACGTCATATCTTTTGCGTCACAATGCGCGATATGGCGTTATAACGTGCGGTGTAGAACGAAAGCCTTGCAAAGCTTGCTTAGTTTTCTTTAGGAATGCATACCTCATGTTACCTTACCCAGTTGCCGTGCTATATGGTTTCAATGCCTGTCATGTGTTCGAGTGAAGTATTACGGTGTAAACCAAATGCTTGTGTATATACCGCGCCATATTTTGTTTACAGGCTGTTGTCGGTGATTCTGTAATTCAGATCGACAACCCGCTCAAAACACTGGTCTCAACCCATGCCGCTTCACTCAATGTATTTTCTGACACCAAAGAGTTCGCGTTTTATTTAGTCATTGTAGAACTGAGATAAACATACTGTGTTTTCAATGTAGAGCTAGGTTACCTGTAGATTTAACCGCACTAAATTAAACATTTGAAACCTCGCTCAAATGTTAAATTTAGCGCTGTTAAATCTACAGGTAACGCAGCTCTACATTGAAAACACAGTCTGTTTATCTCCTAATTCACCTGATGAAGGGGCCAGACGTAGCCCGGAAACGTCATTACAAACAATAAGGAGGTTGTTATCCTTAAAAGTGTCATGTGGTCAGTGATTTACAAAGTAGGTTCCATCATAGAAAACTAAATTTCTACTGCTGATTCTGATTTGGATATTAACTGATTTTGTTTATGCAACTCGACTAAGAATACGTGAAAGATATATGACTTTAAATACAGCGACGTTGTGTTTTCTTCTATCACGTACCCTCCATTATGTTGGAGAGTTTACAAATCTATTGTACGTGGATTAGCATGATTAGTTTGGCCGCTTTATTAACACCGGATTAGGATTATCCCCCAGCTTTACTTGACTAGAGCGCCCTAGCAACGACACGTCAGTCAGGACCGAACAGCCAGAGAAACAGGTAATGGTTAAGATGGGAACACTAATATTTTTTATTATCGATGTGTGTGTGTATAATACTGAACTTTTGACAGGGACCATCTGAGACTTAATGTGACTTATGGGTGGGATATGTTGTCATATAAATAGTATCTAATATTACCGTCGAATTGAAGCATGTGCGGCTTCAATTCAAGTTACTTCAAAAAAGGTGAATGATTCAATACGCTGTTCACTAGTTTCGCAATGGTATGAAGAATTGAGTAAGCTATCAATTGTGTGGTATATATTGTTTTATGGAATTATTCAAGAGAAAATGAATTGACATTGCTGTGCAAAACTGGAGTCGAAAGTGTTTTATCATCCAAAACTGGCAGGAGATATCGCTTGGGTGAGATCAAGCGATATCTACACTGTAGATATCGCTGCAATGAAATTGCATCACAATGCTTTGCAGGCCATTATGACGTCATTGGTTACCATGACGTCACAATCAAATGACATCACTAATGGCTCTGCTACTGAAGCTGTTAGCAGTACTTTTTACATTTAAGACACTGCTTATTACTGTCTACAAACTGACAAAGTTGGAAGAATGATGTTGGATGATAAATAAAATCTCACCCTCGTGTCTTTTGATATCAAATATATCAACACGAGTTGATAAAAGTTGGAAAACTCCGAGGCTTGCCGAGGATTTTTTCCACTTTTATCAACGAGTGTTGATATATTTGATATCAAAAGACACGAGGGTGAGATTCTCTATCTGTGTTCCTGAACCATTATGCGTCATATAAATCACTATTGGAAACTGAACTCTATAGAGGCTAATATGGGTCCCATTTTGGTCACAGGATCAAAATAATTTAAGGAATTGGGAAAACTGTTAGAAATCGTAATAAAAGTTGTCACATGTGTTCTTATAAATGAGAATGAGACTTTTATTTCACCACTTGCATGTTGTGACTGATAACAACACTAATGTAACATACAGGACAGACGAAACGTGTCAAAAGGCTATCACTGATAATTTCGTATAATTTTCACCACTATTTTGCCTTTTACGCCCAATGGAATCTGTTTGGGCAGATTATCGAGACTATTTTTTCTCCAGCGTTATAATAATACATTTAAATACGTGGAACTGTTTGACTGAAGCTGAGTTTTCCTAATGCATGCAGATAAAGACAGGTCAAACATGTGATAAAGTGGTTCATGTTCCGTCATGGATTTGTTCATAGTTTGATTTTCTCTTGAAAAGAAACGGGAAAAACTTGCGTCGGACAGACCTCCAAAGCTTGCAGGTGTGGGAAAGAAGAAAATGATACTTTTCATACCAATCTTTTTTCAAAATTTTCCATAGCTTCACAATTTGAAATTTCGAGTGGGCCAAACAATGTCTGTATCCTACCTCGTCTTGTTTCAGCAAGAACAAATATAATGAGAAGAACGCCTATATTCCAGACTTCTTATTTCGATCATGTTGTTAATTGTGCTTTTATTTGCATTAAATTGTTGTAATCTTCGACAGAATGAAATAATACACAACATGATAACGTCGCTATGTAAAATGCGGCCCTGTTGTATTAGGCGCTGGAAATCTCCATGCATGGTTGCGTCCCTTGGGCGTGCCAGAATCCGATAATCATGAGTTCAATTCCCGGTTCGTCCTGACTGTGTTTCTGGTTTGTCAGCATCATTCCCCTTACCGTGGGTTTCAATACGTGGTGAACATTAAAGGTCGGCATCACTTCCTACATCATGCTGACATGCAATGATGTAATGTAATATTCAAAGTGGCGTTACACCAGCTTCACCGAATGGGTCTGTTCACGATTCGGTCGTGTGTAAGTGAGTGAGCCAAACTGGGACTCGAATCCACGATCAAAGGTTCCTGGTACGCCTTAAGACGCTTGGCCACCCGTGCATCCCGACCATGCACAAAAGGAAGTTACATGAGGTGCGGAAGCTGCATTTGTTGGAAGAGTACGTTAAATCACCACCTGTCTTCAGATGCCTAAAACTTATATGTATTGTAGAAGGTGCTCTTTCGTTTATTTTGGTTTAAATTACATTGAATATACATTATTCCACAGTGACAACGTACTCGTGCTGAACCCAGTAGCTAACGAAGATGGAGATGATACAGCTGTACCTGGTTGTGGTTACCTTAGCAACAGGTAAGGAACAGATCTCGTTGATACCAAACAGGGCAGGATTATGAGGGTCCGGGAATCAGCTGTTCTATTGGAGTTTATCTGAAAATCACCAGCCCAGCTTCCTGTCGAGAAAACACTACGGGCCAAAGAATCAGGGAGGTCGAAGATTAGTTACGCAAATTCAGGGCAGGGCTGTGGTTGATTGGTTAGTTTGTTTTGTTTGTTTGTTGTTTAACGCCGCACTCAGCAATATTCCAGCTATATGACGGCGGTCGGTAAATAATCGAGTCTTGACCAGACAATCCAGTGACTAATATCATGAGCATCGATCCACGCAATTGGGATCGATGACATGTATCAACCAAGAATGCGAGCCTGACCACCCGATCCCGTTAGTCGCCTTTTACGACAAGCATAGTCGCCTTTTACGGCAAGCATGGGTTGCTGAAGACCTATTCTAGCCCGGAATCTTCACGGGTCGACAGGGCTGTTGAATCGAGCAATTACGGATATCTACCCCGAGAGAGTGATGTGCCTTAGCCTTAGTCATTTAAAGAGAGTTTGCTTTAACGTAGCTAGATTTGACATTTGAAACCTCACGCTACGTCTTCGGTTTCAAATTCAATTTATAACAATTAAATCTACACATAACCTTGCACTACATATAAACACAGTAATATTATTTCCAAATTATTTTAAGGTAATATTTCGTCTTTGAGAGGGTCATTAAAAGACCGGCATACACGTAGGGCAGCCAAAGTAGCTGGACAATTGTGTTGATGTAAGATTCGTTGTCTTCTAGCGCACGCTGCCTGCACGTTCCCTTCCGGCCTGCAAGGAACATGGACGACCGAAAATGACGCCATCACCGTCAATTCGACCCACTTGTCTGGCTTCTCTGTTGATATATACCAACACCTTGATTTCACCTGCTTCTTGACCAACGGGAATAACTACGCCATGAAGTAGGTAAAAATAATGTCTGTGATACGTGGATAGTAAATTGTTTGATCACAGCTGATAGTAATCTAATTAGAGAATGGTGAAAAATGGCAAAATTGCGAACACAAAAGGGAAGCAGGTTATGCGACCTTATGCGATGTACATGGGAGTAGGTTATACAACGTTATTTGATGTTCATGGGAGTAGGTTATACAACGTTATACGATGTACATGGGAGTAGGTTATACAACGTCATGCGATGTGCATGGGAGTAGGTTATACAACGTTATTCGATGTACATGGGAGTAGGTTATACAACGTTATTCGATGTACATGGGAGTAGGTTATACAACGTCATGCGATGTACATGGGAGTAGGTTATACAACGTTATTTGATGTACATTGGAGTAGGTTATACAACGTTATTCGATGTACATTGGAGTAGGTTATACAACGTCATGCCGTGTACATGGGAGTAGGTTATACAACGTTATTCGATGTACATGGATATGGGAGTAGGTTATACAACGTTATGCGATGTACATGGGAGTAGGTTATACGACGTTATGCGATGTACATGGGAGTAGGTTATACAACGTCATGCGATGTACATGGATATGGGAGTAGGTTATACAACGTTATGCGATGTACATGGGAGTAGGTTATACAACGTCATGCGATGTACATGGATATGGGAGTAGGTTATACAACGTTATGCGATGTACATGGATATGGGAGTAGGTTATACAACGTTATGCGATGTACATGGATATGGGAGTAGGTTATACAACGTCATGCGATGTACATGGATATGGGAGTAGGTTATACAACGTTATGCGATGTACATGGATATGGGAGTAGGTTATACAACGTCATGCGATGTACATGGATATGGGAGTAGGTTATACAACGTTATTCGATGTACATGGATATGGGAGTAGGTTATACAACGTTATGCGATGTACATGGGAGTAGGTTATACGACGTTATGCGATGTACATGGGAGTAGGTTATACAACGTTATTCGATGTACATGGGAGTAGGTTATACGACGTTATGCGATGTACATGGGAGTAGGTTATACAACGTCATGCGATGTACATGGATATGGGAGTAGGTTATACAACGTTATGCGATGTACATGGGAGTAGGTTATACAACGTCATGCGATGTACATGGATATGGGAGTAGGTTATACAACGTTATTCGATGTACATGGATATGGGAGTAGGTTATACAACGTTATGCGATGTACATGGGAGTAGGTTATACGACGTTATGCGATGTACATGGGAGTAGGTTATACAACGTTATTCGATGTACATGGGAGTAAGTTATACGACGTTATGCGATGTACATGGGAGTAGGTTATACAACGTCATGCGATGTACATGGATATGGGAGTAGATTATACAACGTTATGCGATGTACATGGGAGTAGGTTATACAACGTCATGCGATGTACATGGATATGGGAGTAGGTTATACAACGTTATTCGATGTACATGGATATGGGAGTAGGTTATACAACGTTATGCGATGTACATGGGAGTAGGTTATACGACGTTATGCGATGTACATGGGAGTAGGTTATACAACGTCATGCGATGTACATGGATATTGGAGTAGGTTATACAACGTTATGCGATGTACATGGGAGTAGGTTATACAACGTCATGCGATGTACATGGATATGGGAGTAGGTTATACAACGTTATTCGATGTACATGGATATGGGAGTAGGTTATACAACGTTATGCGATGTACATGGGAGTAGGTTATACGACGTTATGCGATGTACATGGGAGTAGGTTATACAACGTCATGCGATGTACATGGATATGGGAGTAGGTTATACAACGTTATGCGATGTACATGGGAGTAGGTTATACAACGTCATGCGATGTACATGGATATGGGAGTAGGTTATACAACGTTATGCGATGTACATGGATATGGGAGTAGGTTATACAACGTCATGCGATGTACATGGATATGGGAGTAGGTTATACAACGTCATGCGATGTACATGGATATGGGAGTAGGTTATACAACGTTATTCGATGTACATGGGAGTAGGTTATACAACGTTATTCGATGTACATGGATATGGGAGTAGGTTATACAACGTTATTCGATGTACATGGGAGTAGGTTATACAACGTTATTCGATGTACATGGATATGGGAGTAGGTTATACAACGTTATGCGATGTACATGGGAGTAGGTTATACGACGTTATGCGATGTACATGGGAGTAGGTTATACAACGTTATTCGATGTACATGGGAGTAGGTTATACGACGTTATGCGATGTACATGGGAGTAGGTTATACGACGTTATGCGATGTACATGGGAGTAGGTTATACAACGTTATGCGATGTACATGGGAGTAGGTTATACAACGTTATTCGGTGTACATGGGAGTAGGTAATACAACGTTATGCGATGTACATGGGAGTAGGTTATACAACGTTATGCGATGTACATGGGAGTAGGTTATACGACGTTATTCGGTGTACATGGGAGTAGGTAATACAACGTTATGCGATGTACATGGGAGTAGGTTATACAACGTTATGCGATGTACATGGGAGTAGGTTATACAACGTTATTCGATGTACATGGGAGTAGGTTATACAACGTTATGCGATGTACATGGGAGTAGGTTATACAACGTCATGCCGTGTACATGGGAGTAGGTTATACAACGTTATGCGATGTACATGGGAGTAGGTTATACAACGTTATGCGATGTACATGGGAGTAGGTAATACAACGTTATGCGATGTACATGGGAGTAGGTTATACAACGTTATGCGATGTACATGGGAGTAGGTTATACAACGTTATGCGATGTACATGGGAGTAGGTTATACAACGTTATGCGATGTACATGGGAGTAGGTTATACGACGTTATTCGGTGTACATGGGAGTAGGTTATACAACGTTATGCGATGTACATGGGAGTAGGTTATACAACGTTATGCGATGTACATGGGAGTAGGTTATACGACGTCATGCGATGTACATGGGAGTAGGTAATACAACGTTATGCGATGTACATGGGAGTAGGTTATACAACGTTATACGATGTACATGGAAGTAGGTTATACAACGTTATACGATGTACATGGAAGTAGGTTATACGACGTTATTCGATGTACATTTCAGATCAAGCCATAAAGAGATGCTATTCGGACAGGAGGTGTACATCTTCATCTGCTGGGAGCTCGTGGCAGAGTCCTCGGATGTGTGTAGATTCTATGAACTAGCCAGTAAGTAACAGCTCAGTAATGTATTGAAAGACTCAGTTAACGAATCTGCATTTGCATTCAACAAGACCCGTGAAAATCCTGGGTAGAATAGGTCTTCAACAATGCTTGCCGTAAAAGGTGACTATGCCTCTCGTAAGAGGCGACTAATGGGATCGGGTGGTCAGGCTCGCTCATTTGGTTGATGCTTGTCATCGTATACCAATTGCGCGGATCGATGCTCATGATGTCAATCACTGGATTGCCTGGTCCATACTCGATTATTTACCGACCACCGTCATGTAGTTAGAAAATTGCTGAGAGTGGCGTTAAACAACAAACAAACAAACGCATTGAACAAAAAGGCTGCATCCAGACATGCATGAAGTGTGAACTTTCTTCGCCCCGGTGGCACCCGTTACAGACACGTCAAACCAGTCAATTGTTCAGCTGAAAAAAAACACATGAAGTACGAGTCAAAATAGAGAATTGCATCGGAAATTATTTTGTTAACTGATGCGACAAATTTGGAAATGTCCTCCACATGTCTACCATAAAACTTTCTGAAAGCTCAGCTGGGCCTTGAGTATTGTGACGTTCAATGCCAGATGCTTCAATGGTTCAATCATCTGGCGAATCCCGAAATATTTTGGCGCCTGTCAAATTTGATTTAGTTAACTCAAATGAGGTTATACTTGACAGTCTTACTGAAATGGGTTTCATTAAACAAGATCACCTCTACAAAAAAATGTCTGTCAGTCCTCTACAAAGTAAATATCAATAAGACCAGGGTTGGATTCCTAACATTTGAAGCCCGCTTTTGTGTCCCCAGGCATGAGGGTGTTGGACTATATCAAGATAACAATGACGTAAGACTCCTCTCGCCCGCTCCCTCCTTCAATTCCCCCCGCCCTCACATGTATTTTCTCTTGCAGGACACGTCAGTGAGAGCTCCCCGGATAAAGCCCGGGCATTCTTCCCCGGAAACTCCCCACCCATGAGTTCGATTTGCCAAGAGAGCGACGATGGAACGATCTCACCCAGATATCTGCGCAAGACGACATAGGGGCCGAGGACCGGAATCAGATTGGATAAACAATGGACCCGGAAGTAGATCACTGATGACATTTTGTGATATTTTTAACTCGAAATAAGATATGGTATATTCCTTTGAAAGAAGTCGAACTACGAGATATAAGTCGGAAAAATAAAGTTTTATAATTATCTGTGTAGTGTTTTTTCTCCTTTATCAGAAACAAAGTTGGCGGCAGACGGATGACGAACTGAAACACAGTATTTTCAACCTGAATAATGCTATACAGTACCTTTATTACAAACACGCACATAACGAACCGACAGATGTTACGAACCGTTTTTTTTTTTTGTTTTTTTTGTGTGTGTGTTTTGTTTTTGGGGGGTGGGGGTGGGGGGAGGGGAATTTACTCTTTATTATTTGTATACCAGCATTTATTCATAACACATGAGATGTTTACTGAGTCAACATATTATTTGAGGTTCCATAGCCGTGGTTGACCGTGAGTTGCTTCCCTTAGCCGTGACAGCATCCGCTGTTCGTGACTTCGCAACCAGATTATCGCTAGGTCTGTCAACACACAACCTGACTCGTGGGTTTCATCCAAACGGTTGGCGTTCAGTATCTGAATACCTTTTTGGCTTTCCTCGCATACTGATTGCTGATATCTTTCAGTTTGTCTTTGAGTCGACAATACACTAGTCATAGCTTTTCTTCGCAGGGAAATCCATGAAAATGAAAGCCAGGAGTATTCGTAGTTCTGGACGTGCGTCCGAATGCGAGACAATACGATATGTTGTCACTGCAACTACATTGAAAATAAAACCCATCGCATCGCTCTCCAGTCAAGATGGTGTGATGCCAAATCACCGAAGGCTGGCCGTTAAAAAAAATGTAAAAAATATGCATACGAGAGGATGGGGCCAAATGGTTCTAGGTTGGGGGGCATAATTATAATTGTTTTCAAGATTTGGTATAAATTCATGTTTTAACGTAATGACAAATGCTCAATTTGTAACATTTTAAAAGATCCTTTAAGCATAGGCGTGACCGTTGTGACGAAACCCTACCACCATCCTGTGACTGTACGGTTTTGTTAAAAATAAATTTAGAATTACATGAAATATTTTTGGCCTCAAGTATTACAAATAAAATGCAATGTTGACGTTCTGAAAAATAGTTTTGTCTCCGTTATTGAACCAGTGACTGAGAACGTACTCTAACTCCAACAACATGTCTGCACCCCTCCATCTGTAGCCCCTACCCCCAACCCCCGCCCAGGCCTTAACATCAATCAATCGGTCATTGTATATTTAGAATACTGGATGGCCTTAGGTCCATACTGAACAATAGACATCAGAGACAAGTGGTTGTGAACACTATTTAGCGGTACAATTCTTTCAAAACATCGACAAACGTAAACGTTTGATCAGTATACCTTAAAGCTTTGCACGTTTGATCAGTACACCTAAAAGCTTAAAAAGTTTGATCAGTACACCTAAAAGCTTTTCACGTTTGATCAGTGCATATAAAAGCTTTAAAAGTTTGATCAGTACACCTCAAAGTTTTTTCACGTTTGATCGGTACACCTAAAAGCTTTTCACGTTTGATCGGTGCACCTAAATGATTTTCACGTTTGATCAGTACACCTAAAAGCTTTTCACGTTTGATCAGTGCATATAAAAGCTTTAAAAGTTTGATCAGTACACCTAAAAGCTTTTCACGTTTGATCGGTGCACCTAAATGATTTTCACGTTTGATCGGTGCACCTAAAAGTGAGTGAGTGGCGAAACCAACAAGCTGGGCGAACAATTATTCGAACTCACGATGATACGAATGTCACGCATGAAACTTTCTACAATCGACCACATAACCAGATGACAATAGAGTTATTGTCCATGTGCTTAAAACTAACTTATTCAAATCCATACTAAGTACCACGCTGCATTGATGACGTAAGCTTGAAGTTTTTGAAACAGAGAGCAAATCATATTCTCTATTGCTAATCCTTATGTGTGGATAAGAAGGTCATTGTTACATAATTTTATATGACGTCCATTCGAGTAACGAATCACATAACAATCCTATACACTGTATGTAACCAGGCGTATATGTGCACTATATGTTGTTTACTTCGTAAGATTATATACAAAATCAATTTAAAAAAAAAAAAATTCTTGAAAGCCACGAAACCGCTGTTGGAAGCGAAGGAAGGACAAGTAACAACAGTATCGCCTTGCGAAGGGACCAGTCTCGATTAAGCTTTTAACTGAACAATTTACAGTTTATAACGAATCTTTTTCAAGAGTACAACAAATGACAAGAAGTGATATTAACTCCATAAATGACCATGTGTCATTATTTTGTCTCTGGCATTGCTAATAACTTAAACTAGTATATAATTACACGTCTGTCTGCTGACATTTTATGGGGGAAGCGACCACATTCTCCTAGGACAACATAATTTGGAGTAGATTTCTTTACCCCTCACCCCTCTTACATGCCGTTATCTGTACAGATTCCAGTTGTTTAAATTTATCTACCACATATTCCCGCGTCATAAAGTAGAACTATTGATTCTTTTATCAAATATATTAATGAACAGGTCGTAAGGGATTACTTTATGCAGTGATCTCAAAACATTTTACACTATCTTCTAAGCCTGTTTACTACAGTTTCCGACCGCCTCCGTGGTCTAGTGGTAGAGCGTCCGCCCGGAGAGCGGAAGGTCCGGGGTTCGATCCCCAACCGCGTCATACCAAAAGACGTTAAAAGATGGTACTTGTTGTTACCCTCAGCTGTCTGGCGCTCGGCATTAAGGGGCTAAAACAAGGACTTGTCGGCTAGGAGTCAGTATACTGTGTCTGAGTGGGGTATTCATGTTAACTGCGATATGGTATCTCAGTGTGCTAGCACTATAAATCGGCATCAGTCCGGACTATTTCAAGCAGCCACACACACACGTGCATGCACGTCGCTATATAAGTGCAATAATCTTGGACGCGACGTTAAACCCAATTTCACCTCACCTACTACGTATACAGTTTCCTATATGTGGGACACAAGACAGTTTTACTGAGAGTAACAACGTATTTATAACACGAAACACATTCCAATAGCTTCCCCTAGTAATTCCATTTTTCACTTCTCCTTTCTTAAAAAATACAACTTTAGTCTTATCGAAGTTGATAGTAACAGTAATATTGTTCTAGGACCCCAATTTGTCTCTATGTACATTGAAACAAATGTACTATGTCAACAGCATTCAATGTCCTATGCCAACTCATTAATAAACATCGAAAATAAATAGAGGCTGAATAAACATTAATATATTTTACTCACGAACGAAATAAATGAACAAATAACCTGGAAACATTTTAATATTTTGGAAGAAAAACCACGTCTCTGCAGTACATTCTACAATTAAATCCAATGCTTTTTTAAAAATACAAACCCCTGTAAATAAATCATCAGTGGTTGAGTATCCACTGCGAAATCCTACTTGCGATTCCACAATTTTTTAAACGTTAACGAGAATTCAGAATTGAAACATATATCTTACTTAATATACTTAATTAAGAAATTCCCCTGTAGTTATTTGGTTATTTCTGATGAAGAGGTAGGATGATGTTTTCTGCCCACCTATCGGGAAACTATAACTTGTCAAATAGATTATTAAAAAGAATTAACAGATAAGGCAATAAATATTATATGCATTTATAAACAATTGTGCTATTACTTTATCATTTCCTGTTGTTTTGTTACGTTTCAGAGCAATCAAGAATAAATACATCTAGTTACTAGTATATCATCTCAGTCTTCATCAGTGACAGGTATATCATCATCTTCATCATCATCATCATCGTCATCATCATATGGGGTAGCATCAGTGGCAACATCTGTAGACACCATACCACTAACATATTTCTGCCACTGTTCAACAGACATACATATAGTAGATCGTAAGTCGCCCAAACAGACCAAAATACTTTACTATTGTTAATATTATTCAACAAACTGTTGAATGTCTAACCGGAATACAACTGTCTTTTCCTAGGTGTCACTGTAGTAAACCTATTACGGGCGTAAATGTAATTATCTGGATAAACTCTACTCTTATATCGACGGAACACATTAAGAAGTCTGATTCTCTCACAACGAAAAACTCACTCTTTATCAAACTATCTCTGAGGTTGAGCCTTGCAAAAAAAATACGTTACTTTCATACTGCTAGAAATACAACATATAGCTACAGTAAGGATACTAACAGTATTATCTAACTCATGAAATGATAAATCAGTAAAAGTGTCAAACATTGAGATCACCTCATCAGAGAGAGTAGGTTTGCAGCAGTCCCGTTGACAAACACAGAGGTCACCAACATGAGATGCACGTGCTTGCGCTGCATCAGAGTCACGTGACAGTAGTGAGCATGTAACCGGAAGGTGACTAGAGTCGTATAGGGATACAATATCAAAACGTGTACATAAAGAAAAGACTTCAAGGGATGACATAACATAATCTACAACACTAGACCCATTCGTACTAATAAATGTAAAGTCACCCGTTTCCAATATTAGATGCACCAGAGACCATATACCGATATGGTCTCTGGTTGCACAGCGACCATTAAACAAGATCCCATTAAGGGATGCACACAATTTCATTAGCAATTAACCAAAGAGATTTCACACTTCGTCGCAAGAAAAACATTCCATGAAAAATCTAGAAAAATGATCACAGTTTAATCGTTCTGAAATACCATTGTCTATCAAGTCGGATTCTATTGAAGTCCTTGTGTTGAAGTCCCAGCCGAGGTGTATATGGACATCCCCAACCTCCTGTGTCACATCATGAAGCGATTCTTGCAAAATGGAAATTCCACATTTGCATTGCTTATTATAATACCACGGCGGCTTTAGGGGATTCATTTATACCGGTGGTATTAATACATTTTTATCAAGGCCAAAAAGGTCATAAGTTATTGCATTTTGCTTGATGAACGATTTCTTCAAGTATAAGTTCCCCAAACAGCGTTTAACCAATACAGTAATACCACGAGACAATCTCCCAAAGCTGGCAGTTCTTCTAGCAACCAGATCAAACGGGATGAATTCTGGAAAGTACTGTTAGGTCACACGATGATGCCCATGTTTCTATGAAGTCAGAGTTTTCGATAAAGAACAGAAAATT